AGCTCAAACAATCCACCCGCCTGGGCCTCCCAGAGTGCTAGGATTACAGGCATGAGCCACTGCTTCCGGCCCTCACTTAAAGGATGTGGAACAGTTTGAGCGCTCACACATTGCTGATGGGAATGTAACATTATACAACCATTTTGGAAAACAGTTTGGCAGTTTCTTGTAAAGCTAACAAGCAAACACTTCCATGTGACCAAACAAACCCATTCTTAGATACTTACCCAAGAGAAATGAACACATGTCCACACAAAGGCTGTTACTGTTTTATTTATAATATCAATAAACTGAAAATGTAATACCAGCACTTTGGGAGGCCAAGGTGGGAAGATTGCCTGACGCCAGGAGTTTGAGATGAGACTGGGCAACATATTGAGACCCAGTCTCTACCAAAAAAAATACATATACGTATATATATATATTAGCCAGGTATGGTGGCTCCAATAGTCCTAGCTACTTGGGAGGCAGGAGGATCGCTTGAGGCCAGGAATTGGAGGCTGCACAGCAGTATGGATGAATCTCAAAAACAGGGAAGAAAACCACACACAGTAAAGTACCTACTGTATGATTCCTTTTATGTGCAATTCTGGAAACTAAATCTGTAGGGATAGAAAGCATATCTGTTGGGGGTGCGAGGGAACTTTCTGGGCATGACAAGGATATTTTGTATCTTGTGGTTTGAGATTATGTTTGTCAAAACTCATTGAACTTGATGCGTAAAGTGGGTGCATTTTGCTATATAAATATATATATTTATATAGCAAAATGCTATATAAATCATCCCTCAATAAAGTTGATTTTTTAAAAAAATTAAAGGAATTTACTTAATTGGAAAAAGAGGATGAGAATGCAGGCGAAGGCTGCTGAGCACCCTGGCCGGCCCTGCCCTTCGCCCACCACAGGAGGTGCGGCCATATCTGGCATCTGTCCAGTTGCTCACCCGGGTCCTTTCGGCAAGACTGAATGCTTTCAGTTGAGCTTTACAAAAAGACACATACTTCTAGAAGTCTAAGGTGAAGCTATCCTAAGAGAAAATATCCCTCTGAAACAGTTGCTACTGCTACATGTTATTGATGGGTTGCCCAGCTATTGTGCTCGTTTTTAATCAACGAGTTCATCTGTCTATAGATAGGTGTTTTGATCAAGTCTTCGTTTGTGAGAAGGATCTTTAGCATTTTGTATGTTTTCTATTCGCCAGGTATCCATCATCCCACGTGGCAAAGGATTAGGTTATGCTCAGTATTTACCGAAAGAGCAGTACCTGTATACCAAAGAGCAGCTCTTGGACAGGATGTGCATGACTTTAGGTGGTCGAGTCTCGGAAGAAATCTTCTTTGGAAGAATTACAACTGGTGCTCAGGACGACTTGAGAAAAGTAACTCAGAGTGCGTATGCCCAGGTGAGAACGGGAAATCGTTTCTTCCTCATTCTTTTCATATTCGCTTGAGAAGTTGACATTCCCGATTGGCTCTGAAACGGTACTGTTGTGTTTGACTGTTTTAGGCGAGGCTTATTTCTTAAATCAGTTTTAAAGCAGCCAAAACTTATGAAAAGAAACCCTTTTTTGTACTACAGTATTCAAAGTTTATTTCCTAAGAGTATGTAAAGCACATATGTGGAATCTAAGGTTGAATTGTAAACCTGTGTGACCCACAGTGGGGCCCCGCCCAGCCCTTGTCGCAGTCTGTTCCTTCCTGCCGGCAGCAGCCATGCTCCGGACTTCTGTTACGGTCATTGCCTTGTTCTCTGTAAGTTTTATTCCTGGTGCCTACGTCACCAAACAGAGTTTGCTGTTTTTGAGCTTGATATAAATGACTTTTTTGGGAACTTCTGTTGTTCACCTGTCAGTTCTGCCTGTCTTCTGTGTGCTACTTTCGCAAATCCTTTTTGGCTGGGCACAGTGGCTCATGCCTATAATCCTAATGCTTTGGGAGCCCAAGGCGGGAGAATCAGTTCAGGTCAGGAGTTCAAGAGCAGCCTGAGCAAGAGTGAGATCCTATCTCTACAAAAAAGTAGAAAAATTAGCTGGGAATGGTGGCGCATGCCTGTAGTCCCAGCTACTCGGGAGGCTGAGGCAGGAGGATGGCTTGAGCCCAGGAGTTTGAGGTTACAGTGAGCTATGATTGTTCCACTGCATTCTACTCCAGGCGACATTCTTTGCTCTTGTTTCTTTTTAGTTTAATCTTCATTTTAAAAATAATTTTACTTTTATGTGTAATTTATTTCTAACACCTCATCTAAGTTTTTCTGATTCTAATTTATGTAGATCTTTCATGTTATCTGTCATTTTCCTGATCTCTTTTAGCCTTTTTTGAAATAGTAGATTGCAGTTTTCCTACTTGTTATATGGACATGTCTTTTTTTTTTTTTTTATTTCAGCATATTATGGGGGTACAGATGTTTAGGTTACGTGTGTTGCCCTTGGTCCCCCCCCACAAGTCCGTGTTTCACGTATGTCCATCCCTCGGGTAGTGCGCATTGCACTCCTTGTGTATACAAATACCCCTCCCCTCCTCCCTCCTCCCCCCTCCTCCCACCACCCTCCCCCTTCCCAGCATCCAATAGATGTTCTGATATGTGCATTTATGTGTTGATTAGTTAATACCAATTTGATGGTGAGTACAAATGGATCCCGTTCTTCTGCTCTTGTGGTGCCCCACTTTGGATAATGGGCTTAAGTTTAATCCAGGAAAGTGTAAGAGGTGCTAGATCACTGTCGTTTCTTATGATTGAGTAATATTCCATTGTAAACATATACCAAATTTTGATAATCCACTCATGGATTGACGGGCACTTGGGTTGTTTCCACATTCTTGCAATAGTGAATTGTGCTGTATACAGACATGTCTTTTAATCTCATTTTTCTTATTGTGGAGGTATTATCTGCTTATTTCAGAGTTCCCTTTTCTGTCTTCATGAAGTATTAGAAAATGTGGTTTCCTCCCTTCTGGGCTCTCCTGGCTCTGTTTGGGACCTTTTCTTTTCTAGTCAGGTTGGGTTTTACTTGCAGAAGCAGCTTCGTAATGTGCTGGTTAGTTTGGGGGGGCTCATAGAGTCCCAACTGGGTCATCCTCTTCACACTGTCCCCTGGGCCCCATGGACTCTGAACAGGAAAAAGCAGATGCCTCTTCCAGTTCCCTGGCTGTCGGCTCGGCACGCCGCTCTTCCAGGGAGAACCCGTTGGCGGCGTGGGCTTCTTGCTTCCTCGGATGCTGCTTGCCTCTCCGTGCTCTCCCTCATACAGACAGTAACACCACGCAGTTCTTACAGCCTGGGAATTTGTCCCACCTCTGGGTTACTCAGTTTTATTGCAGATGCTTTCTGTGGCTTCTGGCTCTGTTCTAGTGGAGGAGTTTAAAGCGCTGTGCCATGCTTCCACCGCCTGCACAGAAGGCCCTCGTGCACTCTGCTCATGCAGGCCACCACGTGGAGAGCAATCATATGTAACCACCGCCAATCGTGTGTTTTTCAGATTGTTCAGTTTGGCATGAATGAAAAGGTTGGGCAAATCTCCTTTGACCTCCCACGCCAGGGAGACATGGTACTGGAGAAACCTTACAGTGAAGCCACCGCAAGACTAATAGATGACGAAGTGCGGATACTTATTAATGATGCTTATAAAAGAACAGTAGCTCTGCTCACAGAAAAGAAAGCTGACGTGGAGAAGGTAGGTGCTGGTCGTAGGAATAATTCTCTACAGTTTTGCAAAGAATTAAGTGATAGATTAACCGTTCTGGTTGGTGTATAGAGTTCGAATCCCCTCCCTCTGGCTAAGCCTTCGGTTCCTTCATTCTGGTGTTTCATTGTCCGCTCTGTCCCCGTGAGGCAGTGGGAATACGCTCGTGAGCAGAAGTGGACATACCCCGGTTCCTGTGGCTCTTAGCTAGGAGTGCGGGTGAACGAGTAATGAAGTCTGCTAGTAACTGCAGAGCGAGCGGTTAAATTAGCACCTCCTTCCAGATACTTACCAGTCCTCCTAAATAGGAAGCACAGTTGCCTGATTGGAATTTACCATTGTTTTCCACCTCCAGAATAAATAGGAATAAACTGATAGTGAAAGATGAAAGGGCAAATAAAAGAGTTAGCCAAACTGACGGGAAATTGGTACATGAAAATTACCTTTGGCTTGATTATGAACTTCCGTGAATAAACGTGCTTTGTGTCTTTCGTCATCGTACCTCATTTGATGCACCTACGGAAGGGAGGGACCCTTTCTGAACTCACTGGGTTTCTTGCACCCAGTAACCTCCTAATTAGAATCCATGTAATCAAAATTAGAAAATTTTGATCTTTGAACATTCCACACTCTAATGAGAAAAACACAACGAAAAAGCCTTTTCTAAGGGATTGACATACGTAAAAGCATATTGTTAGATGTACTGTTCAATCAGCAAGTCTTCAGAGAAACAAACTATAAGCCCTGCGCTAGGTGATTCCAGAAGAATCTGTGCCATCAGTTCACTGAAGTGTGAGTTAACTGGAGAGCACGCCAGTGTCCACGCAGCGCTGGGGAGCACGCAGGAGGGCTCTGAGGAAGGAGAGGTCGGCGTGGCCACAGTGGTCTGAGAAGCCTTTATAGAAGACGTGTTGGAGGAGGTCGGGTCACACTGAGCAGGAGAGGGAAGGAGCACACGGCAGGAACTGGCAGGCAGAGAGGTGGTTGGAGGGCGGCCTGAGCCTGCTGCCTGTCGCACGTGGCGGAGCAGCAGGGCCTTCCAGGGCTAGGTAGCCAGTTGAGGTACGTAGCTTTAGAAGTAGGAGTGACCTTAAAAATGATCTGACCCAGCCCCTTCATTTTATAGGGGTCCTTAAAGGAGTCCTTAAAAAATCTCAAGCAGAAATGATTAAAAGTTCATGATTTCAAAAGAGAGCGTGACATCAGCGAGCCACCACTTGGATGGGAAGACTAGACCAGACCAGTTCGGAGGCCGGAGCAGGCACTTTGCAACACGCCTCAGATGGTGCCTTCTGGGGGTGGCTGAGGAAATGAGAAGGGAAAGGGGATCTGGAAAACCAGGACTTAATGATCAAATACAGAGGACAAGAGAGAAGCAGGCCCTTGAGTAGCTCCAAGGCATCTCCTCGGGGCTCTGCGAAGGCCCAGAGATGTCCGCGGTGACTGGGAGTCAGGGGGCCGCGTGCTCGTAACAGATCGTCCAGCGGGTGTAGGAAATCGAAGCCAGTTATCTTAGCCTTCCATATTCACAGTGCGTGTGCTGACCGTGTGCAACAAAGAGTGTTTGCTGGAAGGAAAATCGGGTTAGTATGGTGGGGCTCTTGAAACACTGTACAGAGTTCTGAAGTGCTTTCTGGTCCATCAGAGAAAATTAAACGTGTTCAGAGTAGCGTAGAGCCAGCGGGAGATAGGGAATCTTTCACGAGCAGAGGTGTCGGATGGAGCCTTTGCTTCTGAAACCAGGACCTTCTGAAGTCTGGGCCGGGCTTACCCTGCTGTGGAACGAGGATTTGGACGCGTGGATGTCTAGGGCCCAGCTTCAGGATAAGGGCAACTAACCAGTCAGCATCACCTGACACCTTACATGGACCGGGGATGGCCTGAGGTTTATTGACTTTCAGTGCCTTCACCCTCATGAAGTAGCTAACATTATTATCCTACTGAAACGGTTTCAGATGAAGAAACTATTACACAGAGAGGTTAAGTAACTCTGCTTAAGGTCATACAGTTGGTTAACTGGCAGAGCCAGGAGGACCTGATGTCCTGTCTGTAGGGCCCTTGCCATTAACCGCCCCCGCCCCGAGCCTGTGCCATCCTTCATGGCAGCCACGCGGCTGCCGAGCACTTGCAGCGCAGTCCGCGTCGAGAAATGCTGTGCGTAACATGCACGCTGGCTTTTGAAGATTTAGTATGAAAAAAGGAACGTGAACTATTTCAGTAATGTCTTATATCATCACATGTCATACTGATAATACGTTCGATATATTGAGTTAAATAAGAGATATTACTGAAATTTAAGTGGTCACCCACAACTGTGTTATGTGTGTGTGTGTGTGTGTGTGTGTGTGTGTGCGCACGCAAATTGAGAATTAAAGATGGGCTAAGAGGGAATCCTAAAGCTTTTATTTTCCCACATCTTATACGTGCAAAAGTCTATTTAAAAATTAGTCGGCATTATAGTATTCTGGTTTCTTAAAGAATCCTTGTCTCTTAGA